GTTTTTAGCTGGCATATATACATCAATAGCCATAATTCATCATAGATACCCATCATAACATATCAATATACATCCTTACACGCAACTAGGCATTGCTAGACATCATTGCATATCACTGGACATCATTATACATCAATGGACATCATTATACATCACTGGACATCGCTGGACATCATTATACATCACTAGACATCATTATACATCACTGGACATCGTTATACATCACTGGACATCATTATACATCACTAGACATCATTATACATCACTAGACATCGCTGGACATCATTATACATCACTGGACATCACTAAGCATCAAGACATCATTATACATCACTAGACATCATTATACATCACTGGACATCATTATACATCACTGGACATCATTATACATCACTGGACATCATTATACATCACTGGACATCATTATACATCACTGGACATCATTATACATCACTAGACATCACTATACATCACTAGACATCATTATACATCACTAGACATCACTGGACATCATTATACATCACTAGACATCTTTATACATCACTAGACATCACCAAGCATCAATAGACATCATTATACATCACTAGACATCGCTGGACATCATTATACATCACTGGACATCACTAAGCATCAATAGACATCATTATACATCACTAGAAATCGCTGGACATCGTTATACATCACTGGACATCATTATACATCACTAGACATCATTATACATCACTGAACATCATTATACATCACTGGACATCATTATACATCACTGGACATCATTATACATCACTAGACATCATTATACATCACTAGACATCATTATACATCACTAGACATCACCAAGCATCAATAGACATCATTATACATCACTAGACATCGCTGGACATCATTATACATCACTGGACATCATTATACATCACTGGACATCATTATACATCACTAGACATCACTATACATCACTAGACATCATTATACATCACTAGACATCATTGGACATCATTATACATCATTGGACATCATTATACATCACTAGACATCACCAAGCATCAATAGACATCATTATACATCACTAGACATCGCTGGACATCGTTATACATCACTGGACATCGCTGGACATCATCATACATCACTAGACATCATTATACATCACTAGACATCATTATACATCACTGGATATCACTAAGCATCAATAGACACCATTATACATCACTAGACATCGCTGGACATCATTATACATCACTGGACATCATTATACATCACTAGACATCACTATACATCACTAGACATCATTATACATCACTAGACATCACTGGACATCATTATACATCACTAGACATCACCAAGCATCAATAAACATCATTATACATCACTCAACATCAATAGACATCATTATACATCACTAAACATCATTATACATCACTGGACATCACTAGACATCATTATACATCACTGGACATCACCAAGCATCAATAGACATCATTATACATCACTAGACATCGCTGGACATCATTATACATCACTGGACATCACTAAGCATCAATAGACATCATTATACATCACTAGACATCATTATACATCACTAGACATCATTATACATCACTGGACATCACCAAGCATCAATAGACATCATTATACATCACTGGACATCATTATACATCACTGGACATCATTATACATCACTAGACATCATTATACATCACTAGACATCGCTGGACATCATTATACATCACTGGACATCACTAAGCATCAATAGACATCATTATACATCACTAGGCATCGCTGGACATCATTATACATCACTGGACATCATTATACATCACTGGACATCATTATACAACACTAGACATCACTGGACATCATTATACATCACTAGACATCTTTATACATCACTAGACATCACCAAGCATCAATAGACATCATTATACATCACTAGACATCGCTGGACATCGTTATACATCACTGGACATCGCTGGACATCATCATATATCACTAGACATCATTATACATCACTAGACATCATTATACATCACTGGACATCACTAAGCATCAATAGACATCATTATACATCACTAGACATCGCTGGACATCATTATACATCACTGGACATCACTAAGCATCAATAGACATCATTATACATCACTGAACATCGCTGGACATCATTATACATCACTAGACATCACTAAGCATCAATAGACATCATTGTATATCACTGGACATCACTAAGCATCAATAGACATCATTATACATCACTGGACATCGCTGGACATCATTATACATCACTGGACATCACCAAGCATCAATAGACATCACTAAGCATCGATAGACATCATTATACATCACCAGGCATCACTGGACATCACTAGACATAATTATGCATCACTAGACCTCACCAAACATCACTAGACGTCACTGGACATCACTAGACATAACTAAGCATTACTAGACATTAGTGAACATCACTCGGAATCACTGAACATCACTAGACATCACAAGGCATTATAATCCATCACTAGACATCACTAAACAGAACAAGACATCAGTAGGCATCACTAGACAGTCACTGAACATAATTAAACATTTATGTTAGTATCCTAATACTTCATGAAGAATAATTCAAAAGAAATACATCATCAAACGATTTTTCTACTGATTTACTCATTAAATTTCAACATGACACATGCCAAGGAAATTACGCACGCGCACATTAGGCAAAAAACCATGTGACTCAATTTGGCTTCAGTTTCATATCTGTGTATATGATTATGAGCACATGTCTCTGAGCTTTGCTAAAAATAAAATACTTGTTTCTTGTTGATGTCAATGCCAAATGGAGCCTGTTGATGAAGTCGAAGCGGCTTGTGAAGAGGTAGATCCCAATAAGCTTATATCTAAGAACGGTGTTCTTGGATATGAACGTACAAATGGGTTTGAAGAGATAACAAATTTCGACGTAAAAGTCGATGGGTATGTTGGGGATGGAGAAGGGAGTGTTATAGGGTACATCATCCGTATAATTTTAGCAGTGAGGGATCCATTTATATCGGCAGATAATGACAGATCGTCAAGGTAAGATGTGTTGTTAATTTTTTTCTGCACCCACCTAACCGGCAGCTAGCTATGTATATTTTGTTAAAATAAACACTGCCACTCAAACGTAATTTTGTTGTTTCGGTGCGTATTAAAACAGCACTTAAATATCATGAAAAGTATAAAAATTGAAGACTGGCAAGCTTTTTGTTATGTTTAAATTAATAATAGAGGATATTAGGCGGTGATTTTTTCTTCGAGTGGTGAGTAAAAATGTTACGCATGAGCGCAGAAAATGAGAAAAATATAGTTCTCACCACGACTAGTGCGTCCACGTTTTTTGTGCGCATGCTCAGCAAGTTACCAGATGCATTCAATGCAAACCCATTGGATAAAACTGCTCGCGTAACTTGCCGAGCACCTGCAGTTTATCAATTTTTTATCGTCGGCTTTAAAGAAAGCTGGGTACAGAATAACATAATTTTCGGCAGTGTTTACAACGTGTAGTTCCAACTCTGTATCTAGATTTACTCTGTAATAATACATATAGCATATTACACTGTCGCGTGAAGATATATATGTTATTTACCGGCTGCGAGGTTCGGATAGAAAAATATTTTTCAGGGAAATAGGGAAATATTTTTCTATCCGGAAGAACCAAAACGGTAAATAACGTATTTATTTTTTTACAAAAAGCGGCGTTCGGTCGTATCGTAGTCAGACTCATAAAATATAGGATTCCGGACAGTGGTCAGATATCGTAAAATTCCACCCCCTGCTACAGCCAATCAGCTTGCAGGAAAGATTGCAGGGAAGATTGCTCATTACCATAGCCTGCGTCTTACCGGCGTTCACCGTTAGATAGTATCATAGTTGTCAGAAAACTAACGATCAAGAATATTCACGTCCGTGTTGATGCGAACTAACAAGCAAACTCACAGGCAGAATATAATGCGGTCCCGAATTTGGCGTGGGCACCGCAATTCCACTGTAATCACCGAATTATACAGTATAGAAATTTAAAAAATTGATAGATATAAATGTATGATTACCTACTACAAATGTGCAAAAATCGCTAACAAAAGCTAAAACTCGGCAAATTTCAAGATCCGACTTCAAGTTCATATACGACTTCAAATTCGATCGGTCTTCGAAAATAAATGTTTATTTAGTCATTTGAGTTTACAAATAGCTTACGTGCATGTTGATTTTTATAGAGTATTTTACAAATATCTGCTGCAAGTACTTTGTGAAAACAGGGGGAAGCATGAATCACTACACTTGCTTGGAATAGAATCACGGGCAAATTCCATAAACCAGAATTTTCAATTTCTAGGAAATAAATATTACTTATTGGTTATTAATAATTCGGTTCTTTTAATGACTGTTTTCTAGGCAATTTTTTTTAACCAACCGGCAGCTTGGTAACAACACAACGATAGTAAACTGCCTCACTGCAAAATTCCCACCGCTGTGGATTGCCCAGTCAAAGGACATGTTTCTGCCGCAGTTTGTATACAGTCTATGCAAGGAGTACATGGAAACTCCAGTGAGGAAATAAAAGTTTTCAACCTGTAGAGGTAAGTAATTTGTTGATTGTTGCGCAAATGCGTTTTCTGTTTTTAGGGCATTAAGCTTTCGTGGCATGAGCCACGAAAGCTTATAAGGTTAATTTGTGGGTTTGCATGAATCCCATGCTTTCTAAACGCACTGCATTTCACAGTTTTGAAGCTGCGCAAAGGCCACGAATGGACTATGACTCGTGTCCAGCACTATTAGCATCTGCGGATAGCTGTTTCGCCCTTTTGCGGCTAAATGGTGATATATATTACCGTAATTACTCGAATAAACGCCTCCCTCAAATAAACGCCGCAGGGACAAGCAAAAATATCATTAAATGCCGCCCTCAGTGTTCATGCTATATTTTATACAGATTGTTGGAAAACAAAAACTGATGATGTATGGGTTTTTAATCCACATGTGCATGTCGACAAGAATGGAAGGCTTATCCCGCAAGACGAAAGAGCATATGTTTCGATGGAAGCAAGTAGCTTGCCATATTTACGAAATATTAGCAGTGGTAATAAATACATGTACCTTCATATGCCTTTTTTTTATCCATTCAGTAAAGAATTAGTCATCAGGGTTTATTACCGGTATACAATAGACAGTTATGGATAATCTTCGCAGCTATCTTCTCCGTATAACTTTAATAAATAGTGTTATCGTTAAAAGTAATAAGTACTAAAGAATTACTATAGCTTCTTTAAAAAGATAATTTATAAAAATTACACTGAATTATTTTCCTCCAAAACTCGAAAGTATTTAAATTTGCAATGAAGAACGTTGATTTTGAAACTCAGTAAATTATCATTAATTGCACCTGAGCATTAATATTAGTTTCAATCGCTAGAAGGTAAAGAGTTTTATAATTATGTTTAGATTTAGATGATGGAGCAGCATTTAAACGACTTTTGGTCACGGAGAAGGCGTTGTTTCAAAACAACTATCCCCAAGTTGTGTTGGCCCATGCTGGCAGTAGCATGGCGTGTAATTATGATCTTATATTAAAAAAATTTGATGGATGTGCCATTCCAGTGCTCATGGGACCATCAGTATCGGGAAAGACTACCGCCTTGAAAGCTGTAATGAGTATATTTGGCATACGAAAATTTACGTGTGGTTAGTGGTTTTACTCATATGGCCAAATAAATGCATGCTATACTTTAGATACAATCTTGCATGGACCTTGAGTTGTGACGATTATTCCAAATGTTGCATCTATTTCAAGTTAACGATTCACCCAAATTTTTTTTAAACTTAAAATGTTTGTCTGCTTACAAAATAATTAAATAAAGTGCGTTTATTTTGTTCTTATAGTGCTTCATGTGACTTCAGTTTTTCGGGTTTGATCATTATTTGAGATAATGATCACTATTTGCCTTTTGATGAACTACTCCCTAAATTCCTGTGTTATACACTATAGCCAAACCGAATGAAAATTGCCGTGCCGAACGTTGAAACATGATCGAGCATCTCAAATTTCTTGAAATTAACAAAGAATTAATAAATATATGCACCTCAGTATAGACTCCTAAACACCATATGTTATAGGCTTTAAGCCCCGTTTACACTACACCCGATTTAAAGGTACGCGTGCCCATTTTAGCCGTGCCGTGCCGATAAATAGACTGTAGTGTAAACGGGGCTTTAGCAGCTATAATAACTAATTGCTATGAACGTAGACAAAACAATTAAGCCATGTAAGCAAAATATAACTCAATATCGCAAGCCAAGATCTTTAAAAACTCTACAGGGGTTAGACCTAAGTTAACAATCTTATCAGGTTTTTCAAGGGTAAATATGCCTGTAATCCGTGAGTTAGGTTGCGTGGCTTAAAGTAGCTTATAATACAAAACGTTTATGATGCATCATTGCCAAGGTTGTATTCAGTTCGCTTTATATATAAATTTGTTATCGTACTACTAACAAACTTTTGTGACCAAGTAAGTATATTGAACTTGTTAACAAGCTTTTTTTTTTCAGAATCCAGCAGCAGATATATAGAAAATCGACAAAGCAACACAACTATTCCATTTGGTTGGGATGATGCGTCCGATATGAAGGTCCTAAAAAATGTTTCAGTCAATTCTTTTAATGGCGTAAGTATTATATTGACCACATATTTATGCGTTACGCATAACCATTACCAAAGCTCCAGGATTGAAAATGAAATTGTGTTTCGAGCAGCCAATCAGCGTACGTGTTGGAAATTGATTGGATGACAATTAGACCGTGCACACGTATAACGCTTTTGACTGTTTTTGGTTTTGCGCAGAAATGACAGCAAACAATGCAAAAGCAGTAGCAATCAATTTGCAGCAGAAATTAAATCTAATTTAATATATTGAAAAAACTTTAACTCGGACCGCGTGAACAATTAATTAAGCGTCTTAAAACGATAATGAAAAGATGCAAAAAATTACAGTCTTATAGTAACTTGGTATAGGTTTGCAATTTCACGCATGTTTGTATGTAATTGTCTGGTAATCATATTGACCCACCCAAAATAGCAAAACAGCAACTTTATTATTCATACTCACATCACCCTACACTCACAGTAGCCCTTTACACTCCGCACGAAGTCTTGTGAAATCGAAGTCCAGCCCAGTTTTTTATCGCAGCGATCACGATTGTTATACGATTATATAGAAAATTTTTACTTTTAGCCGTCCCAGTGAACATATTTATACAGCGATCGTAACGATCATACTGAAACCAGGCTTTTGCAAGCCGTCTTTAATTAACTTGTCTACTTATTATACATGCACTCTGTAGTGTGGAAGTTCCACAATGAAGAACACCTTGCAGCCGCATACTGTTCCCGTGGTCTCCACGAACCTTGACACATCGGAAAAAAAGTATGTGTGTTCATACAGTATAATCACTATAATACTGCGTATATGTGAGAGTATACACGATCCTTCGGGTTAATGCCAAAATAGTTATAAGATTCTTCATTATATGTCAGTTAGGTGGGTTTCACTATAAGGTGGGTTTTACTATTATTTTTGAAGTACTTGAAATTAACCACGAAGTTAACGCTAAAATTTTACGTACATGACTGATCTAAACGTATAGCTATCATTCATATAGGATTAATTCTCGGTGGTTGCGAATTGAATTTAAAGCACTTTCGCCAAGGCTAACTGGAAAGGATAAAGTCTTAGCTGAGATGAATGTTAAAGCAGCTATGAATGAAGCGCACAAAAGCATTTGCGTTGTCACTACCTGTATGCATAACAATCTCGAAGAATGCACAGAAAACGACACTTACTTCACTATTTTGGAAGAGCTAGAGGAAGAAATAGAAAAAAAGGGCATGCAAATTGATGATAGAGTCAAACTTATGATGGGACTTCTGCTTTTCTCTGCCAAAAAGGTAAATATAGTATGTAGTATGTAATACTGAAATATGTACGGATTAAATATAGCCTCATAAATTAGACTGTCACAGTGTCAGTGTATGCATGTCAGTGAAAATGCGGACTATGTATGTGCATGTTTTTTTATCTCCAGTATCTATCGTATGAAACTGAATAATACAGCCGTAAACGCAGGGTTTGATTGAAAACGTTCTATAGGATCCAGTTTAAAATAGCAGTTGCCTAAATTTCATATACTGTACGTATAAAAGACGTGATAATCTGTATTTTGCCGTTGGAAAACAGAGCTACAACGACGTCTAATATTTTAGTTACTATAATTTCCGGATTTATTTTTTCTATTATATATAGTCTGGTATTATAAGCTTTTCTAGTTATACCCTTGTCCTGTTTGTTGAAATTCTCAAATTCTCAATTGTTCTTTATGTTCCTGTAGTAGGTTAAGCTTTGTTTAAGTTCGCTATTATATATCATTATTTCTATGCAGATTTTGGAAAAAGTTGATCTAGCTGACGATTATGTCTTGGTATGGGAGACAATGAAAGAAGTTATTTTGCCAGGCTACACATTAAGAGAATCAGAACAGCAGCCCACATCGAATGAGAAGTGTCAGAATAATGCAAATGTAATTCATAAACTTCTACATGATCACTTGCTCCCTTTAGCGGCCAAAGAGGATCCAAATTACGTATGTTTTCTTGCTTCTTTTACTTTTTAGTTGCATATTATTTTAATTTCACACGCGCGCTTACATTTTAAGCCATATAAATCCATAGTAGAAACTATGAGCGTTACCAAGAAAAAATAAAAATAAACTAGATAATATACAGTCATTTAAAATAAGGTTGTTAAGACCAGAATGTTTCGCCAGCCTCTTACTCATGGTCGGAAAGCCAGAATATACCGGCAAAGCATTAATCTGGTTTTAGTAGCCTAAATTATGCAAATAAACACTATAACCCTGGGTTAGCGTTAACCGGCTTTTGAACAACCGGCCCCTGTATCCTTGCGTGAAGTATACAAATATGATAATTATATGCCCACTTGATTTTCGATGTGTTATAAACCTACTTAAAACTATCATTTTGGCCCACTCTGTTGATATTGTTCAGTCACTTTGACTATGGTCTATAACAACCATAATTGAAATAATCTGATATAATTTCCTTAAATTTGCAAAGGTGATGCGTTTTATTGATAATGACCATAATCCTTCAAAATGCACATGCGGAAAGTCGGTGGTGTTCCACGTTAAAGATGTGGTGGAGTTCCTGAGAAAAAAAGCGTCAGTAACTGGCGATCAGTTATTGTCATCAGTAACTGAAAATTCAGTTCGTCGTTTCATAAAATCGAGAGATATTGGTTGCGTTGGGGTGCAAGTACGATTCCGACGGAGGCCCAAGCAATGTAACGCGGCACATATACAGAGGATCTGGTTTGATCCAAATGACCTCTCTGTTTTGGATGAAAGTAAGAATACAAAAGGCGTCAATTAATTAATTAATACGATGACATTTGCCTGTAGAACTGTTGAACAGGCGTTTAATTAATTAACAAGACGCCCGGTAGGCGTTAACTCGGGCTGTGTAGCCGGTAAATACACTGCACTGAAACTGAGCTATATTGATACACTGTAAGTACGCGACTGTCCGCGCGGATGACTAAGCCTGCGACACGAAAAAAAAATAATAATCGCGAAACCTAGACTCGGCTAGACCTAGACCACAGTAGCCCGAGTAATTAATATTACGTAGCTACTATTTTCGGTTATATATATAGCATCTCCTTTATTTGATTAAATTTATTTGAACGTAATAGTTTTACTGACTGAGTACTTTTTAGGAGACCTGCCTATTGTTCAGTATACGCTTTTAATTTAACTTTTGTATTTTATTCACAGAACTTGGGAAGAGGAATGATAAAAGTGGGACAAAAGTGCAAACCATTCTTGACAACGACAGTGTTTTGACAAATGTAGAAACCATTCTTGACAACGACAGTGTCTTGCCAAATACACAAACCATTCTTGACAACGACAGTGTCTTGACAAATGTAGAAACCATTCTTGACAACGACAGTGTCTTGCCAAATGCACAAACCATTCTTGACAACGACAGTGTTTTGACAAATGTAGAAACTATTCTTGACAACGACAGTGTTTTGACAAATACACAAACCATTCTTGACAACGACAGTGTCTTGACAAATGTAGAAACTATTCTTGACAACGACAGTGTTTTGACAAATACACAAACCATTCTTGACAACGACAGTGTCTTGACAAATGTAGAAACTATTTTTGACAACGACAGTGTTTTGACAAATGCAGAAACTATTCTTGACAACGACAGTGTCTTGCCAAATACACAAACCATTCTTGACAACGACAGTGTTTTGACAAATGTAGAAACCATTCTTGACAACGACAGTGTCTTGACAAATGTAGAAACCATTCTTGACAACGACAGTGTTTTGACAAATACACAAACCATTCTTGACAACGACAGTGTCTTGACAAATGTACAAACCATCTTTGACAAGGGTGCCTTGGCAAATACACAAAAAACAGTTGAAAATGACGTTCAAAACCTTAAAAGCAAAGACAGCAAAGGTGGTAAAAGAAAACGGAGAATGGCAGATGGTTTGTTCGATAAATTGCACAGTGGACTCAAAGGTATATTATGCACGTTCTAATTTACTCCTCACATTTATCACAACTCACAAATTGAGAATACTGACCCAAACCATATTTTTAGATAAACGTACACGAAATGGTAAATAAGGTTAATTACATCGATGGAGCCGGAGTGTTAACTGCATGGTGTTGCTGTAGTACTTGTGGACTACGTGATCTGGCAAAGTTGTTAAACATTATTTAATATGTTTTTGTGTTGAAATTTGGTTGGCATATATGGGCGAACATAATTAGAGTTTAAATGCTGAACGCAAATAGCGACGAGATATTACATACTTCATTATAAGTTGCTTCATGCAATCTTAACAATATGTCAATGTTAGCATATGTCTTGATATAAAAAACAATAATCAATAAAGTACTTGAGTTTTAACATCAACATTGTGGGACATAAATAAATTAATTAATGTGAATATAAACTATATGCTAAGCCCATTAGTGGAAATGACACATTATGTCAACTTGATCTTAAGCCTTGTTTAAACGTTACCGGACGAATTTAGGTCTGAAATTCGTTCATTTTCGCCTGTTTACACGCAAATTTGTTCTTTACCGTGTATAAACAAGGCCTTTGGCTTGGTGGTCAGAGCATTTCACAAACATCGAAAAGGCGTAGGTTCAATTAGCCATTTCCCAATCGAGCAGGGTACTGTGTTTAGTCGGGAACCGCAAAGCATCCATGGACTGTTTGGAGGGACAAATGATTTCAGACTTATATTTCCTGTTCCTCCAAACAGTCCATAGATGCTTTGCGGTTCGCGACTAGACCCAATCCCCTGCTCGATTGGGAAATGGCTAATTTCTGCCGGACGGCCAATAGTTGATGAATTCTTTTCAACTGTCCCTGGCGTGTATCAATTTCCACTCAAAATTAAGACCAATTTAACCTATTCTTATTTTTAAATGCTTACTTTTATACGGCGCAAATCTCAAAACCGTCAAATTTCAAAGTCCTTTTTGAGTTTTAAAACCTTTTTCCAGATGAACTCTTTTTGCCATTTTCTCAGTGGTAAAACAATATTTAAGTTAAATAAGCCTTCTATGACACCAATGTATAAACTGTAAACCGTTTCAGCATCCCATAATGTGAAATAACCAGATCGAAAAAAGTTGATAATAGAACACAAAACACAGACTTCCAAGAAATTTGTAGTATTTTCTTCAGGTGTAGATCCACTAGGTAATATATTTTTTTGCGTCTGTAAAATGTGCTTAACACGAGGCGAAGATTTGGTTTTCCTTCTAACTTTGACGACTCTTGTCTTGCAAGTACATCCACCACATTTACCAACGCACTTGCATCTGTCGCAACAAGATTTAAATTTAATCATGCAGTTGCATCGCTTATAACTTTTATATTTCTTTAACGGCTTTGCTTTTCTATTTTTCTGCGCTTGTGTCGTTTGTCCACACCTACAACCTGTTAAAAGCAATTTAGATTCATCGTTTTCAAACTCAGTAAACTCCTTATGACGTTTCACGTGAAAATTACTCGTTTGAGCGCGCCCCGAGAATAGCAATGCTGTTGATCAAAGCTGATGAGATTACAAATTGTTCACCCCTTTTGTCTTGCATGATGTGTTTCTTTGTTTTGCCAGCGCGTCGTCGAGCTGGCCGCGTAGTAAATCGTAAACTCCCTATTTTTATACAAGGGCGTACAATAGACCTTTTTGGTAATTACGTCACAACTACATGGAAGCGACGCTGTGGGGCCAGGAATCGCTTATGTAATATAAAAATATTATATCTTGGCCCCTTAGCCTCCCTTCCATGTAGTTGTGACGTAATTACCGAAAAGGACTACTTGAAACTGCACTGACTTGTTGTCAGCCAGTCAGGCGCTCTAGCCGGCGCGCTGAAGCCGGAGTATCTTGCTTTCTAATACTGTTTTTCAGTAAATTTAGAACTTAACAATAAAATGGCTGCGACTTGAAACAAGGTTAATGCATACTGATTTATGTGCATGCATTGTTTACAAATACATTACAAATCATGAAGCACTTAATTCTGTTACAAGGAATTGTCCCTATTCATTACTCTATCTTTAGCAGCAATGTGCGCAATGTCGAGCCCTTGAGAGTTTTTTTACTATCATTTATTTCTTACTGCGCATGTTTGTTGCGAATTTTTTAGACAATAGTCATAAAAATCGTCTAGTGGAGAACCGTTTTCTATTAAGCTTCTGTTGTACTAAATATTAGCGCGCTATAAGGGGACAATGGGATTTCCCATGATATATTTCTTTAACAGGAAAGAAAAAGAAAGAGAAATTTCCCAGGATACTTGTCATTTCTTATACAGACAGTTCAAAAGTCTTTTCCGATGATATATCAAAAGAATCCCAAATGCAATATCGGCGAACGTCGGGCACACTTCATGACTTACGAAATTTTACAAAAAATACGAACAAGATTTAACGCCCACCGCCGTGCCGGAATGCCGCTGAAATCTCATCGATTTTTGGCTTATTGAGTATTATCGGACAAGCCACAGAAATTCTACATACCTTTACGTCCAGGTGTTGATGATTTAAAATTTTCTTTACAGTCCACTACATTACGCGACTCTGTTGTGTCGACAGTGCCTAAAACGGTAATTATATTAATAATGTAGTAATATAGTAACTGTTAATATGGGTATGATAAAATGAATTGCAGTAAATTAATTGGTAGATAATGATTATTATTATTACAATTAGATGTGACCCTACCCGATTAATAGCAAGTTCACATTCCGCGTATTCACATGCACATACTGGGAAACAACAATACCTGAAGGATGCAAAGGTACTATGGGCGAAACTGCGTTATAGTGACCTGGTCCTGACGACGTATATGCCAAGAAAATTGGTGTTGCGGTCATGACAAACCCACGTGGACATACGTTAATTATAGGAGTGCTGGGTTCCGATGTTATTATTCCGAGTGGAATTCCCAATACATTTGCCATTGCCATTGGCATAAGATCACCGAGATTACCTCCAAAAAAACCAGGCCTTTCGTAATGTTCGACTTCAGATAAGTAGTCCACATTATCTGGCAAAAAACTCGCATAATCAGAAGCGAAATCACCTCTCCATTCTTGGACGATTAGATTCCTCAATCTTGTCGATAATTCTTGCACAGACATTGTCGGTAACAAACCAATGTCCCTAAGATGATCAGCGATTACTTTGTAAGCTCCTTTGTTCAATACAGTTGAAAGGTGAAATGCAACAGCGGTAAAGAAGCAGTTCCCATCACCTGGAACCTCCACCTCTTCAAGTCCAAAAAATTGAAGATGTCCTGTGAGTACCGCCTTTGTACCATCTGTAGTTGCCGCAGTGGCAAAATGTGAGCGCATGTTTCTTAGTGCATTAAAGGTATTTCCATATTCAAGACCAATTAGATGTGCAAGATTAGTTTTCAAAAGTAAACGCGTTCCTCCAATGTGTTCCAAACCTTTATATAATTCATAAAAAATAATAGCTGAATCAGCAATGGCCATTGCCATATTATTATCTCTACCTTTGTTTTTGGCGTATGTGTGTTCATCTTGAATATCATCACTTGTTTGCAGTGATGATGAGATAGCGTTTCTGATATTACAAATTACTTCTTCGCTCAACTCATCTAACGACTTGTAAATCATAACATTTTTTTCTGGTATAATAGCTTCTAACTCACCACCAATCTGTCTAAAAGTTTCAAAACCGAAATTTTCCACTCGTTTGGAAAAGTCCGGTGGATCTTTTGAACAAGCCATAAGTTTTTTAATTGAATTATTTCCTTGGTTATTAATTTTGAAAAAAAGCCTGGAGCATCTTACGTATGCGGTCTCCAGTCCAATTTTATTTATCTTTAGAACATTGTTCATATTTCTGTGAAGTCGTTCATTTCGCGATGTTGATACATTAACAGGGATTCCACTAAGGCAGCCTTTCACAATATGCAACTTTATATTGCAGATAGCTTTTTTTGCCGCTTGATTCAAAATATATTCTCCCTTCCACGTCTTAGATTTCCACCATCTTTGGAAACTTTCAAGATTTGCAATTAATGTTTCTTTATCGGGAGTTGGTTGTAATCTTTTGATTCCAAGATCATTTGATTGGCGAAAAATTAATCCGTACCCTTTGCATATATCTGTATTTAATCTTATTGCCATAGGTAAAGTGGTTACAAATCGCTGTACAGCGTGAAAAAGATCTAATTTTACCAAAATGTTTGGAAAGAATTGGGACTGAAATTGACTTCTCCATTTACAGCAATTATCAATGACAATACCTTCTAAATCAGTATTTAATCGTTCAAACCTGTCCTTAAGTTCTCTAAAAATGCCACTTACTTCATTGAATGATTCTCCTTTAGTAAATCTCCAATGAATAATTTTACCGTTATTGTCCAAAACAATAAATACACATTTCATCAACTTTATCCAGCGTCCGTCGCTCTCTCTAGTGAAGCCAATGTTGCCTGCACTTTTAAACGTGTGATCGCATGCAAGCCATCTAGATGTACGACAAGCCATGTCGTCGTAAAAGAGCTGATCGAACAACAAAGAATACGATACAAACACTGATCTAATTATTTTTTCGTGTGGGAATGGAAACGCCTTTTGATCAAATGGCGGAAAACTCTGCCTCTGGATAACGTTTTCACTAAGTTTTAATGTTGAGCTGTCTTGCTCGTACCGTAACCTAAGACGCCAGTAATATTGCTCATATTGATTACACACAATATCCTCGATCGAATGAAAACTTAAACCATTGTCGACCATTGAAGATAGCTGGGTTAACATATCAACTGTGAAACCCGCCCGATTAGTTAGGAAAAATGGAACAAAAACCGACGATGGAAGCGCAGAAAGGATCGATGGATGATGCGCAGGAACTTGATGATTTGACGAACAAAGGTAAATATGAGAAACAAGAAGGATCGCAGAATTTGTGTCATAAACAACTCGAGGTTCATATGATGAGCTGGCCCATGTTTTATCTGCCCACTTTCCAGATCTTCGTAAACAGGTTGCCGAACAAAATGGACATGAAAATCGAGAAATAAGGTCAGGATGACTAAAAATCACGTCCCACAACAAGATAGGAGGAGATGTATACCATTCTGTATTGGGCAGATTGTCAGACCTAGCGCTGGGCCATTCCCTCACAAGCAAAGAGCCGGACGGACTCTCGCAAACAGCCTCTTCAAATAATTTAATCGCCCGTTTAATCTTAACAATTGTGATTTCCGAGATATCCATGCATCCACAAATGCAACTGGAGCTCAAAAAAACAAAAAGAAACAAAAAACATTTTGAAGAATCTTTACTGAGAATCAACATCATAACAGCGAAAATGATCTGGTAACGTAATGATCTACGCCTCACTTTAAGTGATGTCTGGTAATGTCCAGTGATGGTTAATGATCTCTAGCGATGTCTAGTGATATATGTCTAGTGATGTTTAGTGATGGATAATGATGTCTAGTGATATGTCTAGTGATGTCTAGTGATGTATAATGATGTCCAGTGATGTTCAGTGATGTTTAGTGATGCATAATGATGCTTAGTGACGTCTAGTGATGTCTAGTTATGTCCAGTGATGGATAATGATGTATAGTGACGTTTAGTGATGTATATAGTGATGTCCAGTGATGTCCAATGATGGATAATCATGTCTAGTGATGTACAATGATGTCTATTGATGCTTAGTGATGTCCAGTGATGCATAATGATGTCTATCGATGCTTAGTGATGTCCAGTGATGCATAATGATGTCTACTGATGTCCAGTGATGTATAATGATGCTTGGTGATGTAGAGTGATGCATAATGATGTCTAGTGATGTAGAATGATGTCTATCGATGCTTGGTGATGTCCAGTGATGTCTATTGATGCTTGGTGATGTCTAGTGATGTATAATGATATCTAGTGATGTATAATGATGTCCAGTGATGTATAATGATGTCCAGTGATGTATAATGATGTCTAGTGATCTATAATGATGTCCAGTGATGTATAATGATGTCCAGTGATGTATAATGATGTCCAGCGATGTCCAGTGATGTATAATGATGTCTAGTGATGTATAATGATGTCCAGTGATGTATAATGATGTCCAGCGATGTCTAGTGATGTATAATGATGTATATGATGTCTATTGATACTTAGTGATGTATAATGATGTCAGGTGATGTATAATGATGTCCAGTGATGTATAATGATGTCTAGTGATGTATAATGATGTCCAGTGATGTATAATGATGTCTATTGATGCTTGGTGATGTCCAGTGATGTATAATGATGTCTAGTGATGTATAATGATGTCTAGTGATGTATAATGATGTCTAGTGATGTATAGTGATGTATAGTGATGTATAATGATGTCTAGTGATGTCCAGTGATGTATAATGATGTCCAGTGATGTATAATGATGTCCAGCGATGTCTAGTGATGTATAATGATGTCTATTGATGCTTAGTGATGTCCAGTGATGTATAATGATGTCCAGCGATGTCTAGTGATGTAGAATGATGTCTATTGATGCTTGGTGATGTATAATGATGTCAGGTGATGTATAATGATGTCTAGTGATGTCCAGTGATGCTTAGTGATGTCCAATGATGTATAATGATGTCTAGTGATGTCTAGTGATGTATAATGATGTCTAGTGATGTATAATGATGTCCAGTGATGTATAATGATGTCCAGTGATGTATAATGATGTCTAGTGATGTATAATGATGTCTATTGATGCTTGGTGATGTCCAGTGATGTATAATGATGTCTAGTGATGTATAATGATGTCAGGTGATGTATAATGATGTCCAGTGATGTATAATGATGTCTAGTGATGTATAATGATGTCCAGTGATGTATAATGATGTCTATTGATGCTTGGTGATGTCCAGTGATGTATAATGATGTCTAGTGATGTATAATGATGTCTAGTGATGTATAGTGATGTCTAGTGATGTATAGTGATGTCTAGTGATGTATAATGATGTCCAGTGATGTATAATGATGTCCAGTGATGTATAATGATGTCCAGCGATGTCTAGTGATGTATAATGATGTCTATTGATGCTTAGTGATGTCCAGTGATGTATAATGATGTCCAGCGATGTCTAGTGATGTATAATGATGTCTATTGATGCTTGGTGATGTCTAGTGATGTATAATGATGTCTAGTGATGTATAATGATGTCAGGTGATGTATAATGATGTCCAGTGATGTATAATGATGTCTAGTGATGCTTGGTGATGTCTAGTGATGTATAATGATGTCTAGTGATGTATAATGATGTCCAGTGATGTATAATGATGTCTATTGATGCTTGGTGATGTCCAGTGATGTATAATGATGTCTAGTGATGTATAATGATGTCTAGTGATGTATAATGATGTCTAGTGATGTATAGTGATGTATAGTGATATAATGATGTCTAGTGATGTCCAGTGATGTATAATGATGTCCAGTGATGTATAATGATGTCCAGCAATGTCTAGTGATGTATAATGATGTCTATGATGCTTAGTGATGTCCAGTGATGTATAATGATGTCCAGCGATGTCTAGTGATGTAGAATGATGTCTATTGATGCTTGGTGATGTATAATGATGTCAGGTGATGTATAATGATGTCTAGTGATGTCCAGTGATGCTTAGTGATGTCCAATGATGTATAATGATGTCTAGTGATGTCTAGTGATGTATAATGATGTCTAGTGATGTATAATGATGTCTAGTGATGTATAATGATGTCAGGTGATGTATAATGATGTCCAGTGATGTATAATGATGTCTAGTGATGTATAATGATGTCCAGTGATGTATAATGATGTCTATGATGCTTGGTGATGTCCAGTGATGTATAATGATGTCCAGTGATGTATAATGATGTCTAGTGATGTATAATGATGTCTAGTGATGTATAGTGATGTCTAGTGATGTATAATGATGTCCAGTGATGTATAATGATGTCCAGTGATGTATAATGATGTCCAGTGATGTATAATGATGTCCAGTGATGTATAATGATGTCTAGTGATGTATAATGATGTCTATTGATGCTTAGTGATGTCCAGTGATGTATAATGATGTCCAGCGATGTCTAGTGATGTATAATGTCTAGTGATGTATGATGTCCAGTGATGTATAACGATGTCCAGTGATGTATAATGATGTCTAGTGATGTATAATGATGTCTATTGATGCTTAGTGATGTCCAGTGATGTATAATGATGTCCAGCGATGTCTAGTGATGTATAATGATGTCTAGTGATGTATAATGATGTCCAGTGATGTATAACGATGTCCAGTGATGTATAATGATGTCTAGTGATGTATAATGATGTCCAGCGATGTCCAGTGATGTATAATGATGTCCATTGATGTATAATGATGTCCAGTGATATGCAATGATGTCTAGCAATGCCTAGTTGCGTGTAAGGATGTATATTGATATGTTATGATGGGTATCTATGATGAATTATGGCTATTGATGTATATATGCCAGCTAAAAACAAGTGCGATTTTACTATTGGTGTATACTGGACATAAACTTATTACCCTAAAAATGACACAATTACCGGTGGGATATTAGTGCCTGTATCTAACGGGTTCAATATCCGGTGTACATTAAATTCAGTACTTGTTACTTTGGATTGTTAATAAATGTTTACCAAGCTAAAACAGCTCTCTTTTATTGCTTTTTATATAAACTTGGTTGAGTATTGTAGCGTCGAAGGTATAATATATTAAACACGGAAGAAAGCATCATTATTTTCATTTCAACACCTAAATCGGAGGAATTATTTCAGTGGAAAATGTCATAATATATTTAACTTCGAAAAGTGCTATGTGTCTATTTTGTGGTCTGTAAAATATGGCCCAGGATCGTCACCGTTTTGTTGTTATAAATGGCATTTAAATACTGGAAATGTTGACGAGAAATGGTGTGATACACCGTGGACAATGTAGGGGCAAATCCTAAAGGATTTCGCCTTGCGTTGCGCTTTATGGCGGCTGTTGAACAGCCGGAAAAAATTGACGAGAATTCGACTCAAAACGAGGAACATGACAATGTTAAGCCCATATCAGGCAGTGTTTCGTCCACAAATTTGCTCTCTGTATCGGCTTCTTCAAACGTGCATCGTTTGGTAGTTGTATCTTCAAAGATTAGACATCCTTCGGCATTAGAGACCGCAGCTTTGAACGGTGTTACTATACTCATTTATCAACAAGATGGTGAAGAATTAGATAGTTTGCTTTTGAAAATAAAGGAAGCTTGTACTCGCACGAAGCCCGTCAGCATCGCTTTTTTGGCTCATGGACATCCTGGCAGTATGGTTTTATGCTCTGGGAGAGGAGAAAAGGTGAGTGAATATGCGGAAAATGAAATGATGACAAATGTTTTGACGGGCATATGATGATTGATGCAGCTAGACAACGTTTAGAAAGAAATTAATTACGGAATATCAATTCACATAATTTCAGTTTATGTAAGTTCCCTAAAAGTTGTCGATCTTGTGAAGATCTCGTACCTCTAAAACTCTTGGGGAATAGTGGTTTATTCCTTCTAAGCAATCGTTTTATTACACAACTTATTTGTGTTAGCAACACGTTAGGTTTAATATTAACTGAATGGCCATAAATTCACCTGTTAGGATTGAGTAAATAATCTGAGACACTTAAGCCGCAGTTAATATGTAAATATTACAAAGAATGCATATATATTTCTCCAGCCTTTTTGTTATAATTCTCAACTAATACCTCTGATGTAGAATTACTTTCTATGATACAGTGAACTTAGCCAAAGAGTAGAAATATTAGAATATCATTCTGAATAAATACTGCATGAAACAAGATAATCTGATTTGTAAAATTTGCCTAAAAATGCCTGAAGGTCATGATTTTCATTTCAAAAGAAGGGTATTTTGTTCTTCATTTCAATCTGTGTTTTTTTAAATTTTGATTGCATGCTTTCCCTTATTTTTTATTTGTACAGTATCTGTCAAGTCTGTATACAATGTTATTTCATTTTTACAGTTGAGGATCAATGTCATAGTTGAATGATTACGAACCCTTTTGTAGACTCAGTTCTTTAGAATGTCAATATTGTATAGAATGTGGTGCATTTAAACAAACAATGTCTCACCCTAGTAATTGGTTGTATTCTTGCTGAGATATTTCTAAAAAACTTTGATAAACATTTTTATGTAATCTATTAACTGGCACCATTTGTGATTGTATCGTTATCCTGCATCCTGCCTAGCAATTGTACTTGTGGGTTGAAGAATGCTATCAATCTCTTGCTTACCTATCAGTCAACAATGCACTTGCTAGGTCTTATGTGGATTGTATTTATAATTCAACAAATTTACCTCGCATATTAGGAAATCCAGGTTTGATTGAGCTAGCATTGTGGATATAAGAGTTTGTGAATGAGATATTCAGCCTAATCACCTGTAATGTGTGAGTTTTTCTTGTAAACAGTAAAGTATCTTGATTTAAAAGCCAATGAAAGAAACAAAGAAGAAATTTTGATATACTTCAATAAAGAGAGCTTGTGTTAGTTAACAAGGCTTATTGCTAGAGATAGTGTAGAGCTGTGCATAGCTAAAATGAATGTAATCTGTTTTAGGTATTATCCAAACCATCCTTGGCCGAAGATGAAGACATTAGAAACTTTTTCAAAGAAGTTGCGACGTT